CGCCCCTCCCACCAACTGCAGGGTGCAAGGAAGTCCTAACCTATCTTCCCATTTTTTTATCATCACTCACTAGAGGGGCACCTGACAACAGCAAACCTTTGCAATTAGCACCAACAAGCAAAAACACTCCAGGGCAGCATTTCCCTAAGTATATTCCTCAGAATACAAATCCCAGAAGATACCTACTTTAAAAAAAACAAAAACAAAAAAAACCCCAAAACCAAATACAATAAATCAGGGAAATAGTGTATACAATACAGGCCCTTCTCAGAGAGTGAAACCACACAAAGGTTCAGAAAAGCCTATAGTAACTTTTTTTTTTTTTTAAGATTTTATTTATCCGACAGTGAGAGACACAGCGAGAGAGGGACCACAAGCAGGGGGAGCAGGAGAGGGAGAAGCAGGCTCTTCGCAGAGCAGGGAGCCCGACGCGGGGCTCGATCCCAGGACCCTGGGATCATGACCTGAGCCGAAGGCAAGCCGCTCAACGACTGAGCCACCCAGGCGCCCCAGCCTATAGTAACTTAACCGAGCATTTCCCAAACTCATTTGGCCATAGAACCCTCTATTCACATAACAATACAATCTGCCAAACACACCTCCTTTCCAAGGAACTAAAAGATGGTTTTTAAAAAATCTTACAGTATAATTTCAAATTAATAAAATCAGGATACAAAGACTTGTTTTCCTGTCATTTTTTTTTTTTAAAGAAACTACTTTGTTTTGCTAAGAATGTTGCTCTCGCAACATTCCCCCAGCTCAAAGTTACCCTTTCTTATATCATTATTCAAGAATGTTAATTCTCATTAGTAATCATGGGCCTCCTCATCTGGAACAAATAATTTCTGTATGCTTTTTGATTCTGAGAATACCTCTCCACTTCAATCGCTGTGGTTTTAAGTCTAGGGCTGGTAACCTGGGCTTCTGGCAAACACAACATCCCAACAAGATTTGGGGCTTCCTAGCAAACCCTAACTATATCCCAACAGGGGCTAAAATATTTTGCAAGCCCTTAAAAAAACCCAAAACTTCATCTTTACTCTGTGAAAATCAGCCCTTTGAAGATCTAATGACACTTCAGTTAAACCTTTGAGGGTAAGAGGATTACAAACCTTTAGTTCATGTAATTAACAACAAATTTCTTAATATTCTATTCAGGAAATATGAAAACATTGAAGAGCAAATGTAAATTCCACAGAGCTGGACAAGAAAAAAAAGGCAAAAGATAATTCTTAATGCCAACAACATATACAAAAGACCATAATCAAAACCCAAATTATACTCAGTGGCTCTGCTCAGGATTTCAATTATATAAATAACCAAACCAAGACAAAGTCAATTACTAAATCCCTATGAGCTTAGAACAAAAAACAGACACATGCTGCACTTTCTTCATTAAACCAGTCCTAGCGTACGTCTTGTCACCCTGTATAATTAGAGAGAACAAGGCAAAGCAAAGAACTACCACCACATGAAGACACAGAAGAACTTTTTTTAACGTATTTTATCCTAAAAAGTAAACCCAGGTACCATTGGAAGAAGATACTACTGCAAATATAAAATCATAGGATATTTTATAAGGAAATGGAGTTCTTGGTTTTAGGTTGTTGTTTTTTCTTTTCTGGTAAGGCAAAACAAATCTTTAGATAATCATTCATTACAAACCTGAGGTGTTCTTTAAACGTAAGGAAGTAAATTATATTTAATTTATATTATGTATTTGGAATTGAATACTAAATACTATGAATCATTAGATTTAAATCAGTTTATGTAGATAATAAATTTATTTTTTAAAACCCTTTTATTTTGAAATATAGACTCACAAGAAGTTCCAAAAATCATACAGAGACTGTATATCTATCACTCAGCTTCTTGTCTTTAAGTATTTATATTTTGGTTTTAAAGGGTTAACACTTTTGACAGTTTATGGAAAACTGTCAAAAAATCTAATAGGCCTGATGAATGTATATTCTTGGAAGAGGCTCTAGGAAAACATACTGCTGACTTCAAAAACCATTTTTATCACATGAAGGCAGCTTAAAAAATTGGTTTTCTGAGATTCTATCACTGTTACCAATTTCTGCCTCTTTTGACGTCTAGTTTTTATAGACTTCTGAAAATTGTAACTTAGATGTGATTGAAATAAGCTCCCTTATTCCTTCATGTTAATAAATCTAGCAATATTAAATGAATGGAAATTGCAAATGCAAATCAAAATGCTTTGGATTTATTGTAAAAATCTTGAATTCTCTAGTACCCCCAAAATAATACAAACATACCTACGGTGAAATTTGTCAGTGCCAATCTTTGTAGGGGAAAAAAAACCACTGTGAAGGAATGACTCTCCTCAATGCTCTTTACAGTGTCTTTAGTGTTCAAAGAAATGGTCAGTCTTATGGATGACTGATGGCAGTTTGTTGATGGAGGATCTTTATCTTATGGGAATTATCTGACCGATTTTCTAATCTTATACTAGCAACAAATATAAACACAAACATAGTCCCTTTGGTCATATTCCACCATCACGTCCTAAAGAAAGTAGCTCACAGTATTTTGTTAAACACTGTGGACCATTTATCTCAGAAACTCAAACTTTACCCAAAGCATATCCTGACAGGCTGATCACAAGCTCACTGCCCAATCTGGAAAGTTGTTCCTTTCTAAGAGCTTCCTAGCTGTGTGTCATCCCTGGAGTGCTTTAAGCTCAGTTATAGTTTCCTGGCATCTTGTTGGCTTATCCCAAAAATGCTCAACTAAGTAGCCCAACGTATAAACACTCACTTTACCTAAATCACATTTTGCATCTTAGGAAAGGTAGTCTGGAAACATCCTAGCGTCTGTAGTGCAAGGCTAAAGGCAATTCAAAGCAGGAATGACCAAAAGGAAGGAAGTCATATTTACAGCTGTCTTTTCTACTAAAAAATGACAAATCTGTTATTCTAAAATGTTATCTTTTGATTAAACTTTCAACACGTGAAACGTTTACAGTACACTTACTGGCTGAATTCTGTGTCATAAGAACACGATCTCTACATTCTTATAAAAATTTAAACACATTTTCCTTAGCATGGATATTAGTCATTTTATTGACAGAAAACTTTACATAAGCCAGTATTATTTTTGTGCCCATGGAGAAACCTGGGAGTTAAATTTACCGTTTGATTTTAGAATCTGTTAGGGTTGGTATAGCTCTTTCTCCCCCATTTTTTATTTTTCCCAAAACTAATTTTAATTGTCCTGTTTTATTTATGTTTGACAATTTTAAACCACTTCAAATCCTTCTTGGAAGGCTTAATATAAGTCATAATTGAAAATGACCAACCCTAACTAAAGCATAAACAGATGTCTGATTAATGTGTTGACCACCCTTCTCCAATATATATCAAACCCAGAGGACGATAAAGTCCTATGGTCATGATTTTCAGTATAGAATATTCATACAGATTTTGGATTGCTGGAATCTAATAGGATATTAATATAAAACACACAAACCCACTGCAGACATAATGTGAAACTCATTAGTTACTTTCCCTAAATACATCCAAACAGATGAACAAGATTTTGAAGACTACCTTGTTTCTCATTTAATTAAAACTTCCAAGAAAAAATATTTACAATGACTTAAAGACTCCTGCATCCACAGCTACCTAAATACAGAACAAATTGGGAGGATTTAGGTCAAACACAGCTGAGCTCCACTGAGCTCAAATTAGGTGAGTCTCTTGACTACAAAGCTGTTTTCTTAACATGGGGGTTTCTGCACGACGTGATAAGATTTGCTGAGCACCATAGTAATCTTTTGAGACACTAATCAAAAACATGATCCTATATTTTAAAAACCCCAGAAGTGGTTTTAGGACAACAGAAGCACCTCAGCCACTAAAATTAGAGAGATTCTGTTTTAAGTAAAATCACCTGCACAGCAAATCCTTTAACAGGTCGGCAACCAATAAATAGAAAATATTCTTTAAAAACTACCACTATTTCTGAATATTCCATTAGATCCTTAAACTGTAGTTAAACTATATGGAAAATAATAAGTTGCCATAAAGCTTTTGACTATGTGACAGTCTTCTTAAGAAAGAACACTGGTCCAAGCATGATGAACTTGGTCCAGGCACATAGTAGGTATTTCTATTACTGTAGCCGAGTAGTGTCTGACAATTGGGCAAATTTCAGTAAGACTTTACAGCCTGGCATAATAAGTGATGAACAACATACTCAGTTCTCCTGAAATTAATCCAAGAAAGAGAGGACTAGAGTTAAAAATGTAATACAAATACATAGGTCTAAAGCTGCCATTGGTCCGATAAACTAAGAGTCCTTGCTAGCCTTATATTGAACACATCAGCAAATACCAATGTTCTAGTGAAGTGCATATAGTCAGATGAATATTATATGTAACCACCTTTGATACATATATATATCTCAGACATATATATATATATAGTACTGATCCTCCAAAAGATTACACTTCTGAGAGCATAATTAAGCACACTCCTCGTTGCTGTTTAAATACAGGCTTTTCTACTGAAGTAAATAGAATACTAAAATATTACATTTTTCCTAATGTCTAAAATTGGCATCAAATTTCTAAACAGAAGAAAAAAAGCCTCAAAGAGCCACATATTAGATATTCAAACTGTTCTAAGAAAACTAAATAAATTAACTTGAATAAATAAGAGTGCACATTCAGAACAGAATTGTAGCTTTTGGTCAGCAACATGTGAACTAAAGGCAAAAATCTGCCGAGATTAAGGCAGGGTTCTTTGTTTTTTTGTTTTTTTCTTTTAAATATACAGTACAATGTGGTTTTTTACCCCCAAGTTCATTTAGCATTCACTCTGATGTGATCTAAAGTGCCCTGCCAAGCTAAAATACAAGCTTGCTAATTAAGAGAACCTAGATGTCATAGAAAGTTTCTTTTTAGAGCCTTCCTTATACCTACTAATGGCGTTTTCTTTTTGCCTTCACACACGTAGTATAAGAGATGACTGCAACAATCATGACTTCGGACACAAAGCGTGATGACTGTCAGGGTGATAGCCGTTGTAAGGAATTACTTTCTTCTTCTGCTGGAGTCAATTTAAGTGTTGGCAGTTTCCGGGGAGGAAGTTGAGGGCTTTGGCGAAGATTGTCATCCATCTGTGGAATGTACAAAAGGTACATTTGACGGTGGTCTCCCCGTTCAAACTACAGCCTAGAAGAGTAAAGAACCCTGTGGTTCCAGGACTGCTCGAGAAACCTTTTTCTCACAAGTAATCTCTCGATTGTTGAACTCGAAATGTTGTACCTCAAATACCAGCTAACTCAGTATATGTATAAAAGCAATACTGCTCATCTTTGATGACTTCACAAATTATTGTAATTCCATAAAATGAATATTCTACTGAACTCAACCAGATCACAACTTGATTTAAGAGGTCTTCCAATAGTAAGTGTAAAAGCAATACTTCTGACACACTGAGCTCCCCAGTGTACAAATTATGTTCATGTACAATACCTCTTTTGATCTTCCCAACACGATTGTGAAGGCAAAATGGAAGATGACCATTCCCTATCTTACATATTAGCAAAACGGAGCTCAGCACGGTTAAGAAATTTGCATTAGGTTGCAAAGCTAGTATCATGAGTTGAAATTAGAGCCCGGGTCTTCTTATTCCAATACTATTGTCCTTTCAATTAGACCTCAGTGCCTCAGTGAAAATGACCTTCACTCCCCTCAGGAGGACATTAGCATCCCTGGAAACTCTAGAAGAGGGATTATTTAGAACCCGAGTCAGACCTTAGGAAGCTACCTTTAAGCAGGGGCGCCACAAATAGAGTGCAAGGTTCAGAGCCTGGTGTTGAGCTCTCTGTCAGCTCAACTTCAGGAGACTGGAAAGCAGCCACCGCCAAGGATACCAAACCAACAGCATATAGCATCTGATTACCCACTTTAAAAGTAGACTTTTCTAGAGTTTTGAGCATGTACAGAGCAAAACTCTCTCTTATCTTCTCCAGATGCTCCTATATAGCAGAGAGGAAATGTCTCAGCAGAGGTACATGCAACTTACAGGAAAACAAAGAGAATATAAGATTAACTTTTAATTTGCCAATGGAAAAAAGTATTCCCAGTGAACAACTTGAATCAGTTGTGTTGTCATGCTTTTTTCTTGCAAGAACTAAGTTCCTCAAATATTACTCTTTCTTTTTTTAAGCTCTAGATTTTCTGTCCAAATGGTGAACTGTAGTAGCCAATAGGATTTGTTGCTCTAACATCTTATAGCCAACAGTGAACCATACTGAAGAGCAGATATGAAACAGGGGTGGAAAGGAGAGTGCCCGATTTAGAGTTAGGGAACCTTCATATACTGATGATGACCCAAGATGGAAGTGTACAGAGTGGTCACAGGGCCTCTTGGGTCCCCTTTCTGCACAGGCAGGTATCTCGTGGTTCCCTCTACATGGCTGTCATGAAATTGCCACGCAGAGAAAATGAAAACTCTACTGGATGGCCCTCATCTAGCGGTTAAGTGTCTAAAACAATCCGAATAATCTTTCCACTACCTACACTTAACACTCAATATATTTCCTCTCAAGGGATTGACTGAGTTGGGCTAAGAAGATAAACTTGGCATGCAGTCAGCCCACCTAAACTTTAGTACTGGTCTTTTACAGCTTTACTGCTCAGTCCTACTCACTTTTCATGTTCTAACAATACATGAAATATTATAACAAGAAACAGAAGGGTCATTCCAGAGAGTGGCAGAGGTTTCTGGCTACTAATACTACTAGTACTGGATTCAGAATTCCATGTATTTCCTTCATTTGCAACTGACTAACTGCAGAGCCCATGCTGGAATCCAATCTCCAGGGTTCAAATCCCCTCTCTGCCTCTAGCCCCCTGAATGACCCTGGGTAGGGGACGTACACTACTCTTGAAGCTTCAGTATCCTCATCTGTAAAACAGGGCTGAGAGAGTAGCTGTGCACACAGAGCTATTGTGAGGATTCAATGAGACAACTCATAAAGCTCACACAACTCGGTGCCGGTTACAGAGACCTCAGAAACTGCGAACCAGTATTATTAGGCCACAGTGCCTCATTAGTTAGTAAAAGAATAAAGTATCATTCACTGGTATAAGAAAAAAAGCAAGTTTATCAGACACTTGGTGGAAAAATGCCTAACTCTCTTGTATTTTTTTTCAATTAGAATCACCTTTAAAATTTCCGTTACTGGCTATCTCCCCTACTACTTCCTCAATATCTCTCTCTCATCAAATAAGCAACCCCAAAGTGGCAAAATACCCCCACTGATGAAAACCCATAGGCAACATTTAGAACAGAGAAGGAAAGGAAGGAGAAAAAATAACACAGTTTAAGTAGAAGAAAGAAAAAGACATCATAGTGCTAATAAGAAAGGACAAGCACAGGTACTTGTGATCTCAAGACATTATTAACCTTCAGAGACAGAAGAGACAAGTAAGAAGTGTTTTGGTTTTGTCTTCTTTTTTTAAGGCCAGACTTTTGGGTCTCCTAATTTGAAAAATTACTACTTATGTGGTAAAAGTAAACCCAATACCACTATCAAAGTAATCAGGCCACTACTGGCTTTGAAACACTATATTATGTACAACTTTAATAAATGTATATTTGAGCAGCTTAATGAAAAAATAAACTCTTAAAAAAAGCTAAGAGGGTAAAGTTAATGCATATTAACTTTACAATTAAAGGTATAATATTAATTTCAGAAAGGAAAATACTAAACTACTATAAAATAATGATTGAAATAAACTTGACCTTTTCAATCAAGTTGGATTCCTTATTTACAAGTTGGGTGAGTTTCTGCAGATTTGCGTCTACTGTTTCTTGTCCAGCAGGAGAGATGCCTAAGAAGCCAGGACAGAAATCAGAAAGACAGAAAATTTTGAAAGTCTTTAAAGCTGTTTAGACTGAAAGAATTTTGAGTCTATCCACCCTCCCAAGTACGCCACCCACCAAAAATAAATAAATAAAACCAGGCAAAGTGAAAAACCATTATGGGTTCAAAGGCAAAGTTAAGAGGGATGGTAATGCTCCAAAACTAAAACCCTAAACCAAAAGATTAAATTTGTCTATTAAGCAGACAGCCAAGTGTTACACAGTTAGCCAAAGTAATTAGTAAATGAGCACAGCAGTCCTCATTTCCTTCTCCAATTAGAGTTGTTCCTTCTCCCCACTCATACCAAATAGGCCCTTAGTCACAACAACTGGGATAGCTTTCTAAGGCAGCGACTCCCAAACAGCTATCAACCAGGCATCAACAGTATTTGGAGGGACTTAAAAAATACAGATTCCTGGGCTCCATCCCTATGAGATTCTAATTCAGTAAATCAGAAATAAGAGCCAAGATTCTGTATTCGTCCTCTAGCCAGGCTTGCTAATCACTGTTCCAGAGTAACAAGGTTGAAAGTTACTTAGTTTCATGACTCTCAAACTGCTAACCCCCCTCTCTCTCTAAAACACATAACCCACCCTGAAAAATAAACTGTCCCTAAACCAGTTATCCTTGTAACTTCTGTCTGTTAAAAGGACAATTTCTGCCAACTCTCCCAATACAGCTTTCGTATCCCGATCACTAAAGCACAAGGCCCCACACTCCCAAGGAATCATATCCTAAGTAACGGGTACCCTCTATTTACAATACCTCCAGTCTGATGCAATCAGTTTTCAAGTAGTGGAATCATGGGAGTGTACCTCACCCAAATCAATCTGCTGCTGATTTCTGTTCATGCAGGAAAATGCTAGAAGCAACATTTAAAATAATTGCCCATTTGCATTAGGATAAATGCTATCTTTCAACAGGGACTCAATAAATACCTGTGGTTAACTTTTAGAAGAAAATGATCCACTTTAGAGGGGCAATATTTAAAGAAGAACAAGAGGAAAGAAATGTATAAAATCTAGAAGAATAGACCAAAGGCAAATATCTATTTCTCTGTTTAAAGTATAACACATGGGAATAAATTTGGAAAAATGCAACTGTTTCAAGTGCTATAACTCAACATTTAAAGATAATACACACACGTATTCAATAAGTCATTAATTTTGCTTCTACGTCCATATGAGAATATGCAGATATTCTAGGCAAACACAGATTAGCTGAAGAGAAGCCACTTTACCTCCAAGACTAAGCCTAAAATAACTGTGCAGGATGTCGTCACAGAAGCGGCACAGGTTGGAGAGCCGTTGCAAATGTCCTTGTAACTGACCTTTAGGAAAGCGTACTTTATAAAGGGGCGCGAGGAAACCAAACACATATGCATCCAAGGTAGACGGCCTAAAAATAAATTAAGGATTTTTTAAAAACACATAAGGAAATATTAACTTGGGATTATGTTAAAAATATTTTTTCTCAAATACGTTTGCCAATTCTGGAGTATACGATATAGCCTTTTAAAAGATCTACTACACATTTTAGCTTATAAAAAGGATGTAATGAAGGTTTTGTTCAGTAGTTCTTTTTAATATTCTAACCATTTATTTTATTTAGAAGAAAAGTTATAAATTAAAGATGCATTTTTACTCACAAGTGTTACATACAAATAGGAGACAGGGTGGGAATAGCCTTAGATATTTTAAATTCACAGAGATAGCACACTGAGTCCATGTTTGATTACCATGGATAGAAAAAGTTTACTAGAGTAATCCATTAAATCTTTTTTTAAAGTAAAAAACTCATAAGGGGGGGCAAGAGGACTTGCTTTAGGTAACTGTTCATTGACTATATGCATACAAAACATCAAAATGATTTGTAAGGGAATGCACTCACGTATCTCCAAAGAAAAACTGAGATGTTCCCAATCTGTTCGACAGAAGATTTAGGCACTCCTTGGCATCTCTGTATATCTAATAAGGATGAAATTACAACTCAAAAGTAGGAAGGATGCTCTAGAACTCCTTTTAGGCAGGCATTTAGGTATGTTCATCTCTGCTGTCTCTCTTGTCCCTCCTCTGGAGGGCCCTTGCTTTGAAAGTAATCCCAACCATACCTGAGCTTCCACTTCTCGGAGGTGGTAAAGGGGAGGCTCTCCTCTGGTCAGAAGAATTCTATTTAGTGCTCCCTTAGACATCCTTCCAGGCAGGATCAAACTCAAGGGAAAAGGAATTCGTGAAGCAAACCACGGCCTTGTCACACTAAAGTAATTGTCACTCTCAACCCAGAATGTGTGAAGCTGCAAAACAAACAAAAACAACTAAAAACCAAACCAAACAAAACAAAAACAAACAAAAAAACAAAAAAAATCAAACCCACCACAAGCATGTTCTTTTATTAAAAGAAAGGTCATCCAATCAATGTGAAAGTTTTTTGATAAATATCTTTGTATAAAGTGGCTTCATACAACTTTCCCAATTAGAACGACTCAAGGATACAACAAGATTTTAAATACATGAATTTGTTGATTGCTATATACCAGGCACCCAAAACAAGGCCTGGCACATATGCACTCAATGAATATTTACTGAATGAATGAATTATAGTTAGCTAAATTCTATACATGGGAGCAACAAACTCCATCTTCCATAAATAATTTTTATTTCCAAAATGACATTATCTTTCACTTCATTGTTTCATGTCTTAGTTGAATGTCTAACAATCCAGTTTCACAGTAACACAAAAGAATCAAGATTAATACATAAATGAAATTTCCTCTCTTAAGCCTTTTTCATTATGTTCCTTATAAACAGACTGAAGTATATTTTTTGTAGGTCACTATAATACCAATGCTCACCACTGCAGGAAGAAGCTTCTCTTCGATGAGAGCAATGTAAGCCAGTGTATCTGCCCCCTGTTTTGCTGAGAGCTCATAATCAGCATTATATTTCTATTAAAAAATATAAAACCAAGAAACTTGAGAAGTCAAGGGCATCCCAAAACAGTGAGGCTAAAGATTCCTATTCTTCCTCAAAAATGGCAAATATGATATTAAAAAGCAGAACGATACATACAAATTCAGTGACAAATGCTGCTTAATGCAAATAAAGCTCTTAGCACAACATCGCACACACAGTAAGGTCAATAAATATTGTGCTCTTTTTGTTAACTGCTATTATTCAGTGATTGTTTATGAGCTAGTTTAGTTTAGTGCATGGCATATAGTACAAACTTAATAAACAGAAGTTACTATTTTTAACAATAAGGAAGAAGTTCTAATTGGTTACATTTTTCCCCATGAGAAAAGAAAGAAAAACCCCCAATTTAAAACAGTTCTAAATTTTGTTGACAGAGGACTTATTTTTTTAAGAAAAGTATTGGCAAAACCAATTATAACTTTGCTTTTATAAAAATCTTTACATGTTTAAATATTCTGGATACATTATACAAATCTTTACATGCTCACACATTTTAGATACATTACTTCATGAAACATGTAATTGCAACTCTCCAGTTAAAGTGTTTTTTAAAAATAAAATAGTTGCTAGTTGGTGGGAACTCAGATGTCATCTGCAGCAGAAAGTGTGTAGCAGCTTTGTGACTAAATTGACAATCATATCAATAAGCATAAGAGTGAAGATGGCTTCGTTGAATCTGCTTATGTCTAAACTTCAATCAAATCCAAAAAAATACATGAAAGTATAAATTGAGTATACCTCATTATATGACTTTCAAATCACAATACAACTCATGAGTCAGAGTAGTAATTCTCAAGTCTAGTTTTATATCAAACCTGAGGTATCTCCAATTATCTGATTTGGTTTAAAAAAAATTAAAAACCAAACTTTACAATGTTTTTGTTTCTGTTGTTTTTAAGTAACATGCAGGGAACATGTTAAAAAGGAAGCACCCACCTGTTTTCTTAAAAAGTTTAGTATTTTTGCAGGCTGAGAAACGATGTTGTCTTCAGTTGTCAAAATTGGTACATCTCCTATAATCAAAAACAGTTTACATACTAGGAAACGTTTCTATTTCCTCTGAAGAGATTCCGATCCCCTAAAAACTATACCAATTGCACATTTGGAGGGGGAAAATGAGTTAAGCTCATCTTAGCTTTTTGCAATTTCACAAAGCAGTTCTGGAGAACATTGTCATTTCTCGTAATTTCCATCGATCTGGCTTGTATTTTAAAGTATTACTCATAATGATCAAACTATAAGCAACATACAGCCAAGGTCATGGTAAGAAGAAACTAAAATCCCAAGGTACTCCATGGCTATATACCTCACAGCTTTAAATTCGGGGGGGGGGGGGTCACTTAAAAAAAGAGCAGAAAGGTGTATTAAATGTTTACACTGTACCTCTTGAACCTCTCCAGGTGTTATCTATGACTTTGACTTTCAAGGGTGCACCAGAAAATTTGGCGTAAGCCTGAAACAAAGTTTGCAATAAAACACTCAGACTGAGTACGTAGTGCAAATCTGCAGAGCAGCTTTACTTTACAGCCTGGTCCCCCGAAAGCAGAAACGCCTGACACGCGGGCTGTGTCCCTCTCCGGCTGTCTAGCCGAGGACCCGCGCGCCAGATACCCATCTTTCGGGGACTTTGTTTCCCCAAAGGTCTGGGGGATGCAGAGCGGGGCGTGCGCGCACCCAGCTTTGGCTTTTCATTCCACCGCCCAAAAAGCTCTGCAAGGCTGAGAAGACTCGGAGCCCAGCGGGAAAGCCTTGACTCTCCCGCCAGACCTCGGCGGGGTCACAGGCCAGGCTGTAACTCCAGGAGAAGGAACCCAGTGCGGTGCAGCGAGAAGCGCCCCGGCCACTCTGGGCCCTGCAGCGCCGCAGGGAACCGCGGCGAGCGGCTGACACCAGGCCCAGCCAGCCTCGCGCCTCTGGCCCCGCCCATCTTTTCTGTGCCCTGGCCCGCGGGGCGGCCTCACCATCACCACCAGGGACTCGCTGTGCACCGATGGGAGCCCCCAGCCACCTCCCCAGCAACTGAGTTCCAAGGGGGCCGCCATCTTGCCGGGGCCGACCTTTGCTACACCGGAAGTACTTAACTGCCCAATTTCCGGCACATTGAAACACGGGGCGGGGCGAGGGGGAGGGAAGAGTACCTTTGGACTGTGAAGAGATGCGGCAAGGATCAGTGGAGGGGTTAAAAGCCCACTTACCTTGGCTAATCGAATTTAATTTAAAAAAATAATAAAATAAGTAAAAAATAAAAGCCCACTTAGAATCAGCCTGGCCTAATCGTTAAGAGTCCTGGCCCTTAAGATACATCCTCCAGGTAGTCCTTAAATATTGGATGCCTAGTGTCCTCCAAACCCTTTGAACGTTACTACCTTGGGCCTAAATTAGCCCATGTGTAAAATAGGCAGGATTATTGTGTTTGAAATTATGACACAGGGAGAAATAACTTGACATACAATAGGCACTCAATAATTGTTCAACCCCTTACCCCATATATTTGGCTTTTGCTTCTTTCCACTCTCAATCTTATGTCACCCTCATGTTCACTTGCTCCACTCTCCTTAAAGGTAACCCTATTACTGAAATTTGTCAAATGAATTCCACCTTTCTTCAGTCTGGAATATCTCCTTTCCCTTCCACTGCTCCCTCAAAAGTGAGCTTAACTGCCACCTTCTCTGGGATGATTTTACAAAGTTAGGAACTTCAGGGTTCCTGCAGACCCTTGTACACACTTAAATTGTAGCTTCTATTCCATACAGACTTTTTGCCTTTCGCTGTACTGAAAACTCTCTGAAGACAGAACAGGGCTGGCTTTGTAGATGTGAAACCTGTGTAGTCACACAGGGCCCTGTGCATAGAAGGGCTCAGAATTGCCTTAATGTTCTGCTGCCATTGTCTTGAAATTCTTAACTTTTGAACAAGGGGGCTTCCCTTTTTTTTTTCTACTAGGCCCTACATATTATACAGCCAGCCAATCTGTGGTCATGAACCAAATGTTTTTGGACATCACACTGACAGTTTCTCAGAGAAACTGTTCTCAGAGAAACTGTCAAGGAGGGAAAATAGGCCTTCAAAATGCCACGATCTTATCATGCTTACAGGGTCCTGGAGTTAGGACTTGGGTGCTGGGTCCTTCTAGAACGTACAACAGTCTTTCTGGGATTTCTCTGAGTTCTTTCCTTAACTCTGCCGCACTGAGGTAGTTGGGTCCCCTTAAACAACTGTAAGCTCAAAAGAAACCTCTGCAAATTTTCATAAAATTACAATTTAACAAAGAATTGATAGGCATTCCCTAGGATTAGATGGTTTGTATAGCCATCTAAATTACAACATTAATCTGCCAAAGCTTTTTTTTTTCATGTTCCAAAGGCAAGAGTTCTCAGAAATGGGAAGGATAAAGTATATCAAAGGTGGGAATCCATTGATAATACTTTATAAATGAAAAATGCTTAATATATGTACCATTGAAGCCAAATATGAAAACATCCATTGAGCAACTACTGTATGCAAGACACCGTAAGGCTCTGGGAGAATATAGAGATAAATAAGACCTGAACTCTATCCTCAGGAGTTTATAGTCTACCAAGGAAACATATAACTAAGTGTAACAAGTCAGATTATCATGGGTAAAGTTAGAGACATAAATAAAATACTATGGAAGCATAAATCAGGAATGATGCATCCTCTCTAGGATCAGCAGAGGCTGTCTGTTCAGGCTTCAGTGTAAAGAAAGTAATTCAACTTTCAAATTCAAGAAATAGGACCTCCCTGTTTTGAGGGCTAAAATCCTAAGCCATAAAGCTCAGAGTCCATATACTGCAATCAGGCATTTAAAGTAATCATATACAGCTTGGGGCACCTGGGTGGCTCAGTCAGTTAAGCATCCGACTCTTGATTTTGGCTCAGGTCATGATCTCAGGGTGATGAGATTGAGTCCCACATCAAGCCCCACATGGGGCTCTGCGCTCAGCACAGTCTGCTTGTCCCTCTCCCTCTGCTTTCCCCCCTGCTCGCTCACTTTCTCTCAAATAAATAAAACCTTTAAAATAATTATACACAGAGAAAGTGGATTACCTGAGTCTTGTTTGCAGGGTGGAGGGGGGTGGTTATTTTTTGTGGACACATAATATAATTAGTCAGTTCAGCCTTCTCCCTTATTGCTGCTGTTAAATATGACAATTTCATTTGCATTAAAGGGAAATGAAATCTCTCCTCTTAGCATTGAATTGAGACAGAAAATAGGCTATTGCTTCTGATGAGAGAATCCTTAGACACAGGTTTATTTGTGTCTATTTAATAACAATCTTTTATTGGTGCAATTCCTCCTGAGAGTCTGTATTTGCTAGATTGAATTTTAAAATCCTAGCACAGCTGATTGCACAACCAGGCTGAATGTTGTTCCAGAGAACCACACAGAAAGTTGAAACCTTCAGAAATTATGCCTGGTATGGATAGTTGGCCCCTGTGCCTTTTTTCTGGCTGCTAAAGTGTGTTGTTCAGAGTTCATCAAAATCATAATTTCAGATTCCTACCAGGAAGCATATTATCTGCAAAACATTCACATATGTGTGGGATGACTTGAATCACAGCTTTATAATGAGTATTCCAGACAATATTTTCTCTTAAAAAGAAATATTATTTTTCAAGAGATGGACATCAAAAATGGCCTCATCTAGTGATAATCATGTGAACTCAGGGGACCTGACCTTGGCATCAATTTCTATCCCTCCTATGTTTCCTAACTTGAAAGCCATGGTGCAAGTTCTATTAGGATCTTTTTGTCTGGGTGATTAAGATATCTGTGAAATGGTACTGTCAACAAAGATGAAAGGTTTGTGACAAGTGATTGTGCGGTATGATAATGTGTAAGAAAGTTGAACTAAAGATGCTTGAATGTCCCTTTCAACTCTAAACTTCTATAATTTTGTTCCGTGTTCAGATGTAAAATCCTCGGGGAGGAAAAGCAAACACTGAATAGAAGTCAGAAAAGGTGGTTTCTGAGTTTGCCTCTAATTAACCATGAGACCTTGAGCCAATCATTTTACCTTTATGTCTCAACTCATTCACTTATGAAGTGAGGGTTCTTTTAGCTCTGCAATACTATCATGCTATGTGTAATAAGCATTTAATAATAGTTAACATTCACGGAGCAATTTCTACATGTCAAAAACTGTCTTGGGACGCCTGGGTGGCTCAGTCGGTTAAGCATCTGCCTTCAGCTCAGGTCATGATCTCAGGGTCCTGGGATCAAGTTCCACATTGGGCTCCCTGCTCAGCGAGGAGCCTGCTTCTCCTTCTGCCTGCCACTCCCCCTGCTTGTGCTTCCTCTCTCTCTCCCTATTAAATAAACAAAATCTTAAAAAAAACACACAAAAAACTGTCTTATGTATCTGACATAACTCATTTGATCTTCATAATGACTCCATTAGGTAGGTACTGTTATGTTCCCCTGTTTTCAGGGAGGGAAATCAAGGCACAAAGATGTTAATTAATCTTCCCAAGCTCACCTAGCCAATAGATGATAGAAGCAGGATTTGAACCCAGGCCGTCTGGGCTTGTACTCTTAACCACTATGTCATACTGCTGGTAGCTTTCTAAGTAGTCCATTAAAAATCCTAGTTTCATTCAAAGTGAAGTTATCAATGCCATGATAGTACTATCATGACCTGTTCCAATAATATTTATTTAGTATTAAGGCATTAAATAAGTTCCTTAAGCAACTTCTGTCTGCCCAGCACACACTCCTGGGCTATCAGATAATAAAAACTTAGGTTCATTGTTCATGATTTCAGAGAGATAGTTGACAAGGCCTACATATTTGAGGTAACTAGAGGTAATTAGGGGTACCATCTTGTCAAGAAACCCCAAGTCTAATGTAGTTTTAGACAAAGGACCTTAATGTACTGCACTGTTTGGCAAAGGTCTAATGGAAGAGGTAGGACGTTAGCTGACCTTGCAGGAAGGCTGGGTGAGTACATTGGATTTAGATTGGCAAAGGGAAGGGATTCCACATGGGTTATGCTACATTAGTTAAGTCATAGAGATGGGAATGAATGTGGCAAAGAATCCTAAATAAATGGATGCTGAATTTGATAATAAGCTGGAGACTGATAAGGAAGACTGTTGATTGACCAACTTGAGAACCAGATTTGGTGATATTGGAAGGCATGGAGATATATAGTTTTGAGAAGGTAAAAAAGAAGAGTAGAAGTCTAAATACAATATCAACAGATGCACATAGACAGGAATGGGAGGTACATGGACACCATAGGAAGAAGGGTTTTACGAGCCCATCAATTGTATTAAATGAAACAAAATGTTGTGGAAAATGAAGTGAGGAGATGCTGGTGAATATTAGAAGAAAATCCCTGGCACCCTTGTACTGAGCATTTTTCATTGAATAGGTTGTTAGAAATCAAATTGCAAGGGATTGCTGAAGAACATGGTATTAGGAACAGGGACAAGTATAAGATCATGAGGCATGAGGCAGATAAAGAAAGGAAAGGAACGGGACAGGAGCAGAAAACTCAAGAAAAACATTTTGAAGGAGATGACAAGGTGAATCTACATATATATGAAGAAAAAAGTGGCTGCTAGTGAGCAAAGTCTGAAGATGCCACAGAGAAAAATGCCTAGTATCTTATTCCTAGGGTCCTCAGAATTACCCTAAGATTTGAGAGGCGGAGATCAGGAGAAGGGAAGTTGGCAGTGAAAATGAGAAAGGCTTTCTCTCTGACACTAAAGGAAGGTTCAAAGAGAGCATGGGGTGCTGAGTTAGCCCAAACCAGTTACCTTCAAATTTCTCTGTTACATTAGAAAACAAATCAAAAGAGTCTGAGAGAGAGATTGGGGCTTTAAACAGAAAGGAACTAATTTAGAAAATGTACCAGGGAGTTAGTAAAAATTGAATGGAGGGGCACCTGGGTGGCTCAGTCGGTTAAGTGACCAACTCATGATTTCAGCTCAGATCATGATCTCAGTCTTGAGATAGAATCCTACATCTGCCTCTGTACTCAGCTCAGAGTTTACCTGGGATTGTTTCCATCTCCCTCTCCCTCTCCC